GAGCTAACACCATATATATTAGCTCCAGCGCTAAGGCCTTATATATTAGCCCCAGAGCTAACACTATATATATTAGCTCTGCCGCTAACACCATATACATTAGCTTTGGTGCTAACGCCATATTAGCTCTAAAGCTAATGCAATATACATTAGCTCTGAGTCTGGAGCTAACACCATATATATTAGCTCCAGAGCTAACACCATATATATTAGCTCTGGCGCTAATGCCTTATATATTATCTCTGGTGTTAAAACCATAAATATTAGTTTTGGTGCTAACGCCATATATATTAGCACTGAAGCTAACGCCATAAGTATTAGCGCTGGAGATAATGCCATATATGTTAGCTCTCGAGCTAATGTCTCATTTTTACATTGTCCTCTCTGTCAACTCGCTCCAGTTCAAATTAAAGGCTGAACATCAGTTAATATCCAAAATTAACATTCAAGCTGAATGGCGCTCACACTGGAGCAACCAGTCTGTCATTTACCCAAAATGCATTGCAGCGTAAATAAAATGGTGGCGTCCATGTGTCAATATAAAAATATATATAAAAACTATAGTATTTTTACAGTCTCGTTTTTATAAATACATATAATTGAATTAATTCTCTACCAAATAAATCCGTTATTTCCACTAGTCGGAGATCTTTTTAATGAAAATTTCAAAACGTAAAAACACTTGAGTCAACCAGACTGAATAAGGCTGCCACGACAAAGCAATCAGAAAATGCTAAACTGACTTCAACTCAATCGAATTTGACAGACTGCGAGCTAAAATTAGTAGCGAAGTGTCGTTCTCAACAACTGATCTGAGCACGACGTCTCTCAGGAGATTACTCGTCACGGTTTGACCTTCGACATATCATTTCTCAACCCCGGACATTTGTCAATAGACACAAGTTCCTTCGAGGAACGTTCGCTGGAACGTTTGCTGGAACGTTTGCTGTAGACGTTCCAGGTAAAAGCTGAGGTTTAACTTGAGCTGACGTCACAGAAACCAGATTTAACCGGCTTCCTGTGGACGTAAGAGCTCCGCCCCCTGCGCGGCATGTCCGATGACGAGGCTGACATGTGCGTAAAGCGAACATTCCTGAAGCGTGTTCTAGGACAGGATGTGATTTCGGAGCGTGCGCCCATAATTATACACGTAAAGTAATTGTCCTCCCGTTATTGTTCTCAGGCTCCTGAATGTTGATGCGGAGACGTGGGACGACCTCCATGGCTCCTCTCCTCCAACTCGCCGGGAGGCTGTTGTTGTAAATCATGTATGATTCATGAAAAAAACCTCCTCCTGTCTGCCAGGTTTCATCTCCACACGTCTCACAGACGTACAAATAGGCCTTGGCCCTCAGCCATACCTCCCTTGAACTCCTTCCTTTCCCAAACTGCTCTCCTGTCATCGCCCCCCCAACCCCCCCGGCTCTGGCCCGTGATGTTGTTTTTGACGGCCCCTTCATGGGAAGTACCTGGCAGCGGATGCTAGTGGCAGGCCTCTGTCTGGACACGTCTACGTCCCCCGCCCTCCCCTCCGCCGTCTCCTGTCTCCACGGCCACACGGCGTGAGAACCGCGGTATCTGTGGCAACCAGGGAGGCGCACCTAGAGCTGTTTATTTAAAAGTTGTAGGAGGATTTAGGCCTCGGCGTCTGCTGGTTCTGCTCAGAAACAACCGCCTCGTATCATCTGAAGAGCAGGAAAAGTTATGAACCATCAATATCTTACCCGTTGCAGATCGCTATTTGAACAGCCTGGAACAAAGATTTGTATAAACGAAAAGGCCGAACCAAAAGGTTAAACTCATTTTGACAAATTTAAAATTAGCTGTAATTTTTTTCATTATATCTTGAGAGCAGATGAAATGAGAATTTAAAATGTACAGATTTCATGTAGTGTACATTTGAGGTTTTTTTTGTTGTTTTTCAAATGTTAGCATCAAACTAATATTAAATAGATATTTTTTGTGCTTAATAAAATGTGAAAAAAATGTAATTGTTCTCGAACAGTCACGATGCTTCAGGTAGACTTAAAGGTTCATCTGACTCTTGGTTCGCTGCCTTCTCATGAGTTGAAAGTTCTCTTACTTTTTCCTCAGGACATAATACCCCTCAGAAACCTGTCTCTGACTAACTAAGTTGCTTTAAACGCTTCAGTAACCTCTCAGGAATGTCACTGCCCTCTAGTGGTCCTCAGCAGAAAAGCTGACCACATTGAAATCCATTATAAATGCATTTTTTGATTCCTTATTTATCGTATCGTAAAATAATGCATTCCTTTTAGTAACATTTATTTTACCTTTTACTCTCTTGCAAATGTTAACAGTAAGATGTTGGCTTTGAAACCTAAAACAGATTGTCATATTTTTTTCTTTCTCTTTGCAGGTTTGTTAAAAGTTTGACCTCCCTGCCGTGTGGCGATCTTCTCAGCGTTGTTTGAAAAGACTCTAATCGACTCCTTGAGTTGCGGACCTCCTCTTGAGTTCTTCCTTGATACCGTTCGCCCTCATGGCCCACCCTTACGAGCCCTGGTTACGGACAGCACCACCTAGTGGCAGCTCCGAGGACATGAACATCCCATCCTGGTGGGACCTCCATCGTGATGTGCAGGCTGGGAGCTGGATAGATCTGCAGACGGGTCAAGGCTTGCCCTCTGTGAGTCCAGGCAGCTCTATGGGTCTGCAGCCCTCGTTAGGACCTTACGGTTCTGACCCACAGCTGTGTGCCCTCCCCCCGGCTCAGCACGCTTCACACTCGTCCCACCTCTTCCCTCAGGACGGGTTCAAGATGGAGCCGATGGCGCCAGAGATGCTTCAGCAGGAAGCCTTCTCCTTGGAGGAACCTCAGGAGAGCTCCGTGTCGGCTCGGCCCAAGCCCCAGCGCCGCTCCTCCTCTCGAGGCGGGGGCCAAGCCGTGTGCCGCTGCCCCAACTGCGTCCATGCCGAGCAAATGGGCCAGAGCGCTGACGACAGCAGGAGGAAGCACATGCACAACTGCCACATCCCCGGCTGCGGCAAAGCCTACGCCAAGACCTCCCACCTGAAGGCGCACCTGCGCTGGCACAGCGGCGACCGTCCGTTCGTCTGCAACTGGCTCTTCTGCGGCAAGCGGTTCACCCGCTCCGACGAACTACAGCGCCACCTACAGACCCACACCGGAGCCAAGAAGTTCAGCTGCGCGCTGTGCCCCAGGGTGTTCATGCGCAACGACCACCTGGCCAAGCACATGCGCACGCACGAGTCCCCGCCCTCTCACGGTGAGGCGAACGGAGACGGGAGGGTGGAGAAAGGCTTTGACGAAGCTACGCAGCCACAGTCTTCATCAAACGTGTCTGACAGCACCGAGCCTCTGCTGAAGCTGAAATGTGAGACGGAACCGACGGTGACGGAGCAGTCCGGCTAGTTGCATCCCTTCAGAGACGCTCGCGTAGTTAGGAGTTCACGTTCTGCCGTGGAGGAGTCGTAGCTTAGAATAGAGCGTAGAGGAAAGATTTGGACGAACTTTTACTGATGGAAGCTGGAAGGGACAAATCACGACTGTGGTTCTGTGAATTCGCCGGACTGAGGCGGTAATCGTGATGCAACGACACAGAAAAACACAGTTTGTTTCTTTGCAGCCCAGGAGAGTTTTCTTCCCGTTTGTTTAACGGAGTCCGAAAATCAGGATCTGTAGCTTTCAGCGGAACTTCACGAACCTCCCGCAGAGAACGGAGTTATATTTTAAGAAAAAATGACACGATCATGATGCATTTTCTACTCGAGACGTGTGCTTCCTACTGAACTGGAAGGCAACAGAGAACATTCAGAATCATTAAAATACTTCATTTCATGCACTGTAACGGCTCATCTCAGTGGTAAAGCACTTATCGACAACAAACGTCAGCAGGAAAGCGTGAACAGGTGCTCGAGATGAAACGGAGACCCACTTCGCCAACAAACTGACGGTAGAAAAGAGTGATGAGAGGCCTTCCTGGACCTGGACAGAAAATACCGCCTGGTTGCACGAATCTGTCGGGACACGCTGAGGACGGCAACAAAAACAGACACAACCTCTCAGATCCGTCCTGTCAACACCGCCGGTTGATGGGACTGAAAGAAACATCCAGCCTTAAGAAACACGAGACCTTAAGCTGCACGTGACAATATTTCTTCTTAGCAACGGATCAAAGGCTGCGATAAATGTGAACGAGGTTCCACGAGGGAAAAATTGTCACCAGTCTCTGCTGCACTTTGTGTTTTAGCTCTCAAACTTTATGGGTTTGTAGTTGCTTTATTCAAGCAGACTTTACAGCGAAAAGCAGCTGAGAGGTTTTAGCTTCACTTTAAAATAAACTGTTAATGGTGAAGATCTGCAGTAAAACTTTAAAACGTTAAACGACTGACAAGAAGGAAATAAACAGGTCAAATGTTTGTGGTGAACAAAAATGAGTTTCCAAATAGATTGGAACTATATGTCCGCTGGAATACTATAAATAAATGTTTAATAAGACTTTTAACAGTAAAAGTTATTTTAGAGTATACTGTAGTTCAGATCTTTTGAAGTGGGCTTCTGTAAAAAGGTTATAAGCAGTTAATATCTTACCTGTTGTAGATGTGAACATCAGGTTGGAGGAGCAGTTTGATTCTGACCCGTTTAACGAGCACACAGCTAGTCTGAAGGAAACCAAGATCAAAATACATCTCGGATCAACTTCAGTTTCCAAATTTAATCATAAAACAAGGTTGTAAAAAAAACTTTTATTTCAGTTTCTGTAGTGATTTACATTGAATTGTATGCAAGTGCAAACGGTAACGGCTAATTAGCAGCTAGCAGTAATACTTCTGCTTCAGTTCCAGCTGAAATACCGATATGTTTCTATCAAAATACTTGAGTAATATGAAACTGTTTGCATGTGAAAGTTTAAAGTAGCATTTTCATGAACCGTTGGACAACTTGAGAAAATTACAACAACAGATATCTGCTTTGAAAGATGCCTCGCTAAGACCGTGTGGACAAGCTAATGGTTTGTTAGCCTGGCTAATTTCAAAGTAAATAAAGAAAGTAAATTTAAAAACTGATATTGTTTTATAAAGCGTTACATTAAATTATAGTTATTTAGACAAAACTCTGAGGATTATTTATAAGTGCAGATTGTGGCAGCTAGCTGATATCTATCAGCTAACTATAATGTTTCTGCTGCAGTTTTGCCACTTCTTAAACTATTTCTGCCAAAATACTTGTGTAACGTGAAACTATTATCGTGTGAAGCTTTATACACGTATTTGCTTCAACTGTTAAAACCTTTTTAACAAATTACAACAACAGAACTTTGCTTTGGCAGTGGCCCTGCTAGGACTCTGTTCACAAGCTAATAACAAGTTGGCTAGCTGGGCCACCGCCAAAGACGATTTTTGTTGTCTTAAAACGGCTACTCTAATCTTCAAAACTTGTAATAATGGTTACAATAGTCAAATATATAGGCCTGTACAGAAAAACTATTTTTTTTTTATTAAAATTTAAAGTAATTTAGTTTCACGTTGGCGAGCAGCTAGTTAACGCCTAGTGACTAGCTAATGCCTAGCAACTAGCTAATGCCTAGAAGCTAGCTAACGTCCAACAGCTAGCTAATACCCAGCAGCTAGTTAAC